TGCTTTGACTGGTTGGCTTTTCCTCCCTCTTTTTTTTTTTTGTTTTAAAGATTTGTTTTGTCATTTTTAATTATGTGTATGAGGTGGGGGCGATATGTGCATGAGCGCAGGTGCTTGTGGAACCTAGAGGTATCAGATTCCCTGGAGTTGCAGGCAGTCATGAGCCACTCAGCGTGGGTGCTGGGAATTGAACTCGGGTTCTCTGTAAGAGCAGTGTAAGCTCTACTGCTGAGCCATCTCCCTAGTCCCGAGGTCCCTTTATATATATACTTTAAAAGGTATTTCTTTGATAATTTTGCATATATATAGTGTATTGATCACATCCACTCCCAACTCTCCCTTCCCACCCCCCTCCTTGTTCCTTTACAGTTTTCCATACATTTCAACTTTTCTACAGATTATCTGTACTACTTTCATAGATGGAAAAGAAAAGTGGAAATGGGGAGATGGTTCAATCATTAAACTGCTCACCATGAAGCCTGAGTTTTATCCCCCAGAACCCATATAAAAAAAGCTGAGCATGGGGCTGGGGAGATGGCTCACACTTAACAACCTATGTTCTACCTCAGGGTCCATATGGCAGAAAGCGAGAACTGACCCCTGAAAACTGTCCTGTGACTACCACATGTGCTCTGTGGTACATGCCTGCCCATACACAGACATTTCACACACACACACACACACACACACACACACAATTAAAAATAAATAATAAATAAGTAAATGAAATAAATATTGGGGGCTGGAGAGATGGCTCAGCAGTTGAGAGAGCTGACTTCTCTTGCAGAGGACCCGGGTTTGATTTCCAGCACCCACATGGTGGCTACGAACCGTCCTTAACTCCAGTTCCAGGGGAATCCAAAGCCCTCTTCTGACCTCTGAGACATTGCACGACATGGGTGCACTCACATACATGCAGGCAATACACTCATACACATAAAAAATAAATAAAAAATAAATTTAAAAAAAAACGGAATAAATATTAAATATATTTTTAAAGCTGGGCATGGTGGTGAGTACTTGTAATCCTAGCTTTGGGTAGATGGAGACAGGCAGATCCCTGGGGCTTGCTAGTCAGCTAGCATAGCCTAATAATCAGTGAGCTCCAAGCCAATCAGAGACCCTATCTAAAAAAATGTTATGAGGTTGAGGATTTAGCTCAGTGGTAAGCTCCGGGGGTAAAAAAAAAAAAGGTAGATAACACCTAAGGTTGACCTCTGGTCTCTGCACACATGTATACATAGGTACATGCATACACACAGACACACACACACAGTCATAAAAACAGTCATACCTAATGGTTCACAACTATAAACCTAGAATTTAGTAGGCTAAAACAGATGTCAAGATACTGCTTCAAGTTCCGGGCCAGCCTGAGTGATACAGTGAGTTCCAGGACAACATGGGCTACAGAGTGAGACGCTGTGTCAAAAACAAATCCAACCAGCTAAACATCAACAACATAAACACCAACAGCAGGGTGGTTTGTTAAGCTAGAGATGTGGCTCAGTTTATAGAGTGCTCGCCTAGACCTGAGTTCAATCTCTAGCACCACATAAACCTGAAGTAGTGGCACCTGCCTATAACTGTAACACTTGGGAGGTAGAGGTAGGAAGCTCAGAAGTCCTAGGTCATCCTGAGCTACATTGTAACTTCAAGCCAGTCTGGGAAGTATGAGACTCTGACTCAAAAAACAAAGTGAGAACAAAAATAGATTAATCAGTGGGTCAGCCCAGCAACCTGTCTAAATCCTTATCAGAAGTGGAACATGTGCTCCTGGGGACCAGGACTGGCCCTTTCCCTAGCTTCTTCACTGGGCAGAAAGGTCAGGGAAGCTCTGCTGGGAAAGTGTTGAGATGAACCCCGTATGACCCTTCCCCAGGAAATGACACAGTGGGCAACAAAAACCCAGAAGCTTTCTGGGAACCTTCCACCCAGGGCACAGTCCAGACCTTGCAAGGTCTGGAGATGAAGCTGCCTCTCTCTTGGTGTTCTGTTAAGCTTGTCTTTCCAAAGGCTTAAGGGGAGTGGAGGAGATGGGGTTGCCACTCTATTACCCCTTGAAGTTGCCTCATCTGCAGGCTGGCTGACCAGAGCCCATCCTGACCCAAGCATTATCCTGGAAGTTCTATCTATGACCATTCTTCTTCCAGAAAAAGAGACTCGAGATGCCAGAGAAAAGATTGTAAATTCCAAAAGGTTAGATGGCTCTCCCAAGATAACAACAGAGAGTATTTATAGTGCTGATACCAGGGTCAGCCCTATGCTTGGCATCACACCTATAAAATCACAGATCTCAGTGGCCCAGGCAATGCATGTCGTCAGCCTTTTTCTAGATAGCAAACTTGAAGCCATGAGTGCTGGCTACTTGGAACTTGCCAGATCAGGTCCTGAGTCTCAGCTTCTTTCTCATCAGCATGTCCCCAGCACAGTGCCTGGCACACAGCTGCCACCCAACAGGTACCAGGAGAAGGATTAAGGCAGGGAGAGAGGCAGCACGCAGCCTCCACACCCTCCACCCTCCACCTGCCACCTGCCAGCAACCCTGCCCAAAGCCTGGGGCTGGACAAAATGTTGTGTTCTGCTCATTTCAGCAGAAGCTATGGGAAGGGACAGTGCCACAAATACATGACCACCTCCCCTTGGATGCCCTGCAGGGGGGCCTCTCCTCCTCCTACAAAAAGGTAGATTGAGCCCACAGGATGGCCCTGGAAGTTGAATGAGGAGAACACAGGCTCTGGAATGAGAAGAGGGTAGCTCAGAAGGAGGCAAAGAAAGCTGGGGAGAGGCAGCGACAGTCCCTGTTCCCCGGTACGCAGGGTCCTTTGTGTGAGCTCAACGGAGGGTTGGCTGCTCTTCTCATAATTCTATTTCAAGCTCCCAAGCAGCCAGCAAGCAGAAAACTGGGGGTGGGGGTGGGGGTGGGGAGCTATAGACCCTAGGAGGCCATTTGATGAGAGAGCTATGCCTCATGAGACCCCATGTTCCCAGGGGATATGTGTTCAGTAATGTCACCAGAGGCTGACTTTCACCAATGCTAACGAACCATCTACTCTTCTTTCCAAGGCCTTTTATCTATTTCTGGACTCATGGCTTGTTAGGCTTCTTCATAAAAGTCCCCCCAACATACATCATTTTTAGGGTTCACAAAAATCTGGATCTGGCCAAAATGCAAAACTCTGGAAACTCTTCTTCCAAGCAAAGAGAGGCCATTCCGTAGGCTGGGACTTGTGAGCTAGTTTCCCTTGTCAGAGGAGGAAGGACTGGGCTAGAATAAGGGTTGTCAGGGGCCCTGAGGCCATGGAAACATTAAATCAGATACAGGGCCGTGAGGTGAGAGGAGGGAGCATCAGCACCCTCCCAACCAACGCCCCCCACCCCCCCACCCGTCCCTTACAATGTTTAGCTTACAATTCATGCAGTTCAAGAAAGTTCTTAACCTTTTTAGATGGGGACATTTTTTTTTTTTGTCTTTTTTTGGGGGGAGGCGGCCTTTTGACACAGGGTCTCCCTGTAGGCCTGGAACTCCCTATGTAGACCAGACTGACCTTGAACTCACAAAGATCCACCAGCCTCAGCCTCCAACACGCCCAGCTGGATGGGGAATCCTTTTGAGAATCCGATGAGAGCTCTGATGAGCTCATTCCTACAGTGTACCCATACAACAGTGGCCATTTATCTAGGGGACTATAGTGTTTGTTTGTTTTGGTCTTTTTGAGACAGTCTTCCTGTAGCCCCAGCTAGCCTAGAACTCCCTATGTATACCAGACTGGCCTCAATCTCACAGAGATATGTCCGCCTCTGCCTCCCAAGTGCTGAGATTAAAGGTGTGCCCCACCATACCCGGCTTACTTTAGTTTTCTGAGAGTCTCATGTAGCCCAGGCTGGCTGGGAACTGGCTATATAGCCAAGGATGACTTTAAACTCCTGATTCTCCTGCCTCTATCTCCAAAGTGCTAGGATTCAAACATGCAATACCACACTCAGCTAAGGTATAGCTCAGGCTGCCCTTGAACTCCTGGTCCTCCTGCCTGGTCCTCTTTGATATTTGCCTACCTGGTGTACCACTATGGCTGGTTCTGGGGAACTATAGATGCCTGAGGCTGACCAGGTAGCCTTGTAGGAGTCACAGAAGTGCCAGGTCAAGGCCCTGCTGTGGAAGCAGCATAATGTGAGGACAGACCACAGGTGATAGTCAGGAGACAGGCATCCTCCCAGCTTCAAAGCCCCCTCACCACCCTAAACCTCTACTGGATTTTGCATTAGGTGTTCTCTAATTCCTTCCAACTCTAGAATTTTGATGATTTTTGCAGCTTTCATCTTCTGTGGCCTGAGCACTCCCCCAGGCCTGTGGGAAAGTCAGGAGAAAGGGAGCTCGCTTATGCTGAATACCCGTTATGTGCAACACACATTTGTCAGACTTGCTATTCAATTCTCCCAGTGGCCCTGTGGGGCAAGTACTCTTTTCTCTTTTTACAGATCAAAAAACTTGCCCTTCGGTGAAGGTTTGTGGTAAGTAGTAGGCCCTGGATTTGAACCTGGTTCTACTGGATTACATAGGCCAGAGTTCCTACCATCCAGGCCCTCATTCACCTGTGTGTGTGTGTGTGTGTGTCTACTCCACAGCCATTGCCCCATCCTCCTCACAGCCTTTAAAATATGGGTGTCTGCCTCTACCTCCTGCACCTCTTGGCCTGAAGCCAGGCACCTCCCACTCTGTCCCCAGGGCCTGCCAACCACCTGGCAGATAGGAAATGAAGACTCTCCATTCCCATCCAACTAGGTCAAATCCCACTGATCCCAGTCTCTTCTGGGGCCACTGCTCTATTGGGGAACAATTAATGGCTGTGGTTGATTATGGGACACTTAGACACGGAGCAGCATAAGCTTGGTTTGTGTTCCCAGCTTAAAAGCGCAGATTAATCGCCCTGGGCTGGTTCTGTCACACACAGGGATATATTTTCTTCTTGGAATTTACAAGTAGTTCCATCTGAGAAATAAACAACCAGAGATAAAAATTACATTGTCACAGTGCAGGTGTGATAGATGTAGGAAGCAGGCCGTCGTGGTCGCTGAGGAGGCACTCTGCCAACAGAATCCACCGAATGAGACCAGAGGAGCCCCAGGTAAGGGAATGAGATGCTGATGGGAGCTGGGCCGCCTGGAAGCTCAGAATCTCTGCAATTTACACTTCATCACTGCAAATCACAGAGTTCCTAGGCTGGCCTCCAGAGCCAGGGCACATGGGTGATTGGCAGGAGACCTCCTCGGGCTGTCGTGCCTCTCAGGCTACAGGAACTCGGCCTGCCAGGATAACAGGACACATCCCCAGCTGTGGAGCAAGCAGGTGGTCCCTTGACTAGAATCTTGACAGCTCTGTCTCTACTGAGACATCGACTACCCTGTCTTGTCTCTGCCACTATAAGCTGATGGGAACTAGGTCTACCTGTGGAAGAAAGCCACCAAGAAGGCCACAGGAAGACCAGGTGCAGTAATAACAATAACATTTACTGAGCACTTACTAAGTGCTCAGCTGTGTGTGAAGGACTCTGTGGAATTACCTTGTATTAATTCTCATGACAGCCTTATAAAGAAAGTAGCACTAAGAGTTAGAGATGGCTCAGAAGAGTGCTTGCCCAGTATCCCTAACACCCACGTAAAGAGTCAGGCATGTCCCTGTAATCCACCCATTGGGGGATAAAGAGACAAGTGGATCCTGAGAGCTCACTGCCAGCCAGCATTCAGTGAGAGACTGTGAGCCAGGTTCAGTGAGAGACCTTGTCTCAAGGCAATATGGGGAGAGTGATAGCCGAGACCAGTGTCCTGCTGTGGCCTCTACATGAGCATAAACACTCACATGGATTCATCATAACACGCACATGTGTATACACGCACACACACAGAGACAAGAAAGTAGCACTATTATCCATTTTGGCTTTGGGGGAGTTTCTGGTTTTTTGGTGGGGGAGCTGAGACAGGGTCTCACTATGTAGCCCTGGCTGGCTTAGAACTTGCTTTGTAGACCAGGATGGCCTCAAATTCACAGAGATCCATCTGCTTGGCTTTGGGTTTATTTTATAGATGGGGGGGGCACATGCCTCAGCTTGAGGACAGAGGGCAGAGGATAATTTGTAGGAGGAGTTGGTTCTCTCCTTCTACCATATGGGTTCCAAGTATTGAACTCAAGTCATTAGGCTTGGTAGCAAGCTCCCTTACCCTCTGAGCCATCTCTTTTTGAGACAGGGTCTCATGTAGCCCAGGCTGGCCTCTAACTTGCTTTGCAGCAGAGGAGAACCTTGAATTCCTGATCCTTCTGCTTCTGTCTCCCAAGTGCTGGGATTACAGGGGTGTGCCATCACATCTAGCTATTGTCTGCACTTACAGACAACAAAACTGAAGTTCAAAGAGGATAAGTGACTTGACAGAGTCAAGCATTTGAATAGTGCGGTCCAAAAAGATACACGCACCTTCAAATCCCTGTATCCTGTGAATGTGACGTTATTTTTAAAAAGGATCTTTTATTGAAGATGCAATTAAGTTAGGGATCTTGAGAGAGATCATCCTGGATTACCCAGATGGGTCCTAAATTTAATGGTAAATGTCCCTATAAAAGAGCCACGGGAAGGCAGAAATTGGAGTGACACAGCCACAGGAGTGTGAATCATCACCAGGAGCTAGAAGAGGCAGGAACAGCCTGTCCCTGGTGCCTCCAGAGGGGCACAGCCCTGAAGACATCTTGATTTCACATTTCTGGCCTCCAGAGCTGTGAAAGAATAAATCTCTGTGGTTTTAAACCACTGAGCTTGTGGTAATTTACAGCAGCCCTAGGAAACTACTAGAGAATCCCACAGCTGACAAATGGCAGTGCCAGGCTCTGGCAGCTTGACCCCAGACTCAGGCTCTGCCCGGTATGTAATGCTGCCAGGACAGAGACCAGAGTTCTATCCTGGTTACACTGTGACTGCTGTGTGACCTTGAGGAAGGCATGGAGCTCCAGCTTTCTTAACTGCAAAGTGAGGAATTTAGACGAAGTCAGTGGTAAGTCTCAGGAGCAGCCACACCAGGCAAGAGGAGTTCTGGGTAAAACAGTGAAAAAGAAAGGGTTGGAAACTGCCTGAGGTGGTGATTTGTGTGGGGCTTTGACTCAGGATATGTTCCCTGCCTTTTGGTCATGGGACTATGCTTTTTTTTGGTCTTTTTGAGACAGGGTCTCCCTATAGCCCCAGCTGTCCTGGAACTCACTATGTAGACCAGGCTGTCCTCGAACTCACAAAGATCCGCCTGCCTCTGCCTCCCAAGTGCTGGGATTAAAGGCATGCGCCTCCACACCCTGCTTATGCTTTTTTTTTTTTAAATTAAAAAAAGTGTGTATGAGTGTATTGCCTGCCTATGTATAAGTGCACCCGTGTCGTGCAATTCCGAAAGAGGTCAGAAGACAGTGTTGGAGCCCCTGGAACTGGAGTTACAGACAGTTGTTAGCTGCCATGTGGGTGCTGGGAATCGAACCCAGGTCCTCTGCAAGAGCAGTCAATGCTCTTAACTGCTAAGCCATCTCTTTAGCACTCCCCCCAATTAAAATTTTTTAACACATTTTGTGTGTGTGGAAGGAAGAGGATAATTTACAGAAGTTAGTTCCTTCCTTCCACAATGTAGGTCCCAGGAATTGAACTTAGGTCATCGGGTTTGGTGACAAGCACCTTTACCCACTAAGTCACCTTGTTGGCTTAGGATCTGCTTTTTCTTTGACAGAATAAATCCACTGCACTCATCACTATATGCTTTGATGGAACCCCTTTCTGAGGGGGCTTGTACCCCATTCACACTCCCAGGCCTCAGGGGCAACATGAGCCAATGACTTTACGCTTACAACTTTGGCTCAGTAGGGAGAAGTTCTTCTTTCTCAAGGAGAACAGCAACCTGTGGCTGCTACAGCTTCCAGCTAAGGAGAAGCCCAGCCAAAAAGCTGAAGAAATCAGGTCCTGACAGGTGTGGTGATATACCCTGTAATCTAGCACTCTGGATGCTGAGGCAAGATCTGGAGTTCCAGGCCAGCCTGGGACCATGCCTCAAAAATAAAAATTAAAAATAAATAAAAAAATAAATAGAAATTCCGGTACTCAGGAGATTGAGGCAGGAGGACTGACACAGTCTGGGGCAAGTCTAGGCTACAGAGTGAGTCTGAGGTCAGCCTGCGATATACAGCAAGAACCTGTCTCATGCAAAACAAGAACCAAGTCCTAGTGGTGCTGCACAATCACATTGTAACTAAGGTTAAATTTTTAGTTTCATGGGCCTGTGAGAGTTGTGTGTGTGTGTGTGTGCATTTTCTCATGTGTGGGTATATGTGTATGTGCATGTGTGTACATGTGCACGTAGAGGCTCAAAGTTGAGACTCGTGTGTTCCTCAATCACTTTTCACTTTATTTATTGACACAGGGTCTCTTATTGAACCTGGAGGTCACCCATTTAGGCTAGACTAGCTAGTGAACTTGCCCCAGAAAATCCTTGTTTCCTCCTCCTGGGTGCTAAGATTACAGGTGGCCACTGTGCTTGCCTGCCTGTTTTTTACCTCTGTGTTCTGTGGATCCAAACTCCAGTTCTCCGGCTTGCATGGCAAGTGCCTTATTGACTGAGCCTTCTCCCCAGTCTGAAAGTTTTTTTTTTTGGGTTCCAACAGTTTGGGGTTCTTTCTTTCTCCTTTCCTTTTCCCTTCTCTTCCCTTCCCCTCCCTTTTCCCCTCCCTTCCCCTCCTCTTCCCCTCCCCTCCCCTTCCCTTCCCTCCCTCTTTCCCTCCCTCCCTCCTGATGTTTCAACCCTCAGATCCCAGGCAGGGCCTCCCCCTTTTTTAAAACAGGGTTTCTCAGACAATAGCTCTCTTATGTATTTCAGGTTGAGCTAGAACTTGGGACCCTCTGCCTCAGGCTCCTGAGTACTAAGATCACATGTGCACTCCACCATGCCTAGACACACAGAGCCACTTTTAAAGAGTTCTTCTAACTCTAAAACTGTAATTTTTCAAGGCCAGAAAGTGTGGGTACCTACAATGTAGCACACATGCATACGCATGTGTACTTTCCATATAGAATCCCCCAACATCTTGGTTCAGTTCCCAGCACCCACATGGTGGCTAACAACTGTCCATAATTCCAGTTCCAGGGGACCCAACACCTTCTTCTGACCTCTGCAGGCAATGCATGTGCATGGTGCATTTACATACATGCTTGCAGAACATACACATAAAATAAAAATAAATAAATAAAAACAATTTTTTAAAAATAATAAGGTGATAGCCAGGAGTTGTGGTACACACCTTTAATCCCAGCACTTGGGAAGCAGAGGCAGGTGGATCTCTGTGAGTTCAAGCTCAGCCTTGTCTACATATCAAGTTCCAGGCTAGCTGGGGCTACAGGGATTCCCTGTCTCAAAAGACCAAAATAATAATAATAATAATAATAATAATAATAATAATAATAAATAATGTGGAAAAGTGATTGAGAATAACATTCAGATGTCAACTTCTGGTCTCCACATGTGTTCACATGGGCAAGTGCACCCCCCCCAATGTGCACACATGTATAAACCACACACACACACACACACACACACACACACACAGGGGCCTGAGGCAGTTGTGTTGGCATATACCTGTAATCCCAGCACTTGGGAGGCTAACAGAGGTATGGTGAGTTTGAAGACAGAAAGGCTACCCTATCTCAAAAAAAGGGGGTAGAATGCTGAGATGGGTCAGCAGGTAAAGGTACTTGCTGCCAAACTTGACAACCTGAGTTCAAACCTCAGGAGCCACAAAGTTGTCCTCTGACCTTCACAAGTGCACACACACACAATAAAAAGAAATAAATGTAAAAGAAATTTATACGGGGGGCGGGGAGCTATGTTGTAAGAGCTGAGAGAAGTCACTGAAAACTCATAAGCCATCAAGATGTTATGATCAGACTGCTTTCTCACACCCCAACTGCAGTGAGATTAGAGGCAGGAGAAGCAACTCAAACACCAATTAGGAGCCTACCACCAGGTTCACAGCAAGAGATGCAGCCCCAGGTTTAAGCAGGCAGGGGCAGGGGACATGCACAGAAGGGGGTGGTTTCAATCTGCAGGAGACGGACACCATTGGTGGATGATGACGATGGAGAGGATGAGTCAGTGCATGCTCTGCATGGAGCAAACCGGATCCCTCCCCGTCCTAGATTTGGACACTTCTATTAATGTGGTCAAAAATTATAGATGCTTTTTTTTGGAAGGCACATCAAACTTTCTGACTCACTGTGCTTGCAGGCAAATGCTTCCTCATCATAATAACCCTTACTGGGACAA